AAGTCTAGCGTAATTAACTTTTACTTACAATTTTTCTGTGCTCAGAATTACATCGTAAAGAAAGTGAAGCCACTTGAAAAATATGTTGGATGGGAAAGCGAGGGCGACATCCTCAAGATGTAAGTCATTTGTCAGCTTCATTAAAATACGTCAAAAAATGTGACAGAATGAAATGTCAAATGAAAAACGAATGAAAAATTCTCCGGTTTTATATAGGAGGACCGTCATAATGGTGAGTATGTTTTAGATGATCGAAATTTTCCACATTTGAGAAAATTCCTAAATGGAAATTTGGTTCCTAAGTCATGAAGAATTTAATTGACATTTAGAAGCTTCTTTCCACAGAACACCTTCAAACCTGGTTCTCTCGCATGAATAAATCTTATTAATTGCTTTGAGAGCTCTTTACCTTTATTGAAGGGGGCTAATCTTTGCCGACGTCATTGTTTACATTTTTCTCCATTAACTTACGACGTTTGCTCAGAGAAGGCACAAATCGATTACACAAATTTAAAGAGCTTGTGAAATTTAGTAACTGGTGAAATTTTTGGCTCTTTGGTTTAATATTCAAGAAGAAATTGGCTATCAAGAACTGCACAAGTTCTGGGTGGAAAAAGCGCTTATGAGCTGATACAATCTTTATAAAATGTTGAGTTTTTAATCCCGCGTCGCACAAAAAGTATTCAATGCATTGGGCTCAGATTCCTAGGGCAGCAATTGTGCCATGCCATGTCAATATTCAGTGCTGATATTTCTGTAGTTTGATTAGACACTGTATCGCTTATGCTATAATAAGGCAAATATTGTAAACAAAATCAAAGATTCCCCAATAGGTCAGCGTTCTCATTTCAAAATAAGACCGTTTCTTCACCGATTGATTTTAGGTATCTCCGAAACAACGTGCTGTCAACGCTGGCCAGCCATGGAGATGAGCATGCAGTGAATTACAGTTTGACCGGATTCAGAATATGGATGAAAAATCAAAGGTTAATTATTGCAAACAACCAACTTCTATGTTATCATGTTTTAGATTTGCAGTCACTCTCTCTCGTCCCTACAACCATTAGTCTGTTTGATAGGCGGGTAGTCAGCGTCAAGTATTCCTCGATTCTGATCAAATTTCCAGCTGTTTAGTCACTTTTGCCATTAGTAGATAGCATTATAGCGGAAAACAGTTCTCGTGTATTGAAGAACTTCCGATTCTTCTCGCTTCCATGTAATAATTTACCATACTTAGCTGTAAGAGTAAAAAATTATCAGTTATTGGAAGCGGTTGAGCAAAATATCGTGCTTTGTCAATGACTTGTAGATCAATGATTCGCCTTAGCCTTCGGCTTCGGCAAATAATCGAGCTGCGACACACCGACAAATCACGATATTTTGCGACAGCCGAGTTCAATAACTGTTTGACCACAAAGTTTGTTTTCATATTAAATCACTCTCAGACCGTTCACGGAGAGCGATCTGCCATTTTTCGCACGAGAGCGTGATTACAATAACGCTTGAGCAGAATATTATTTGGAGCTGGTTAAACACATTTAGACGGTATTACGCATGAGCAGACCATTATTTGTAGGCAGTTATTTGCAAGTCACGTGGTGGGCTCTCAGCCAATGAAAAGGATAAAAAAAAAATACATCGAATGATAATATTTATTAGTGAGCGTACCTTTTCCCTGCAGCCTTACAATCTCTCCTCATATTCGTGACATTGTGTACCACACCGCCATCAAGTTCGGTGGAATCGAAGAATGGGAGTTTATGTGGAAGAGATACCAGGATAGCATTGACCCAACAGAGAAATCCAGGATATTGTACGCTCTCTCAGGAACCAAGGAACCTTGGTTGTTGAATAGGTGACATTTAATGATTCTTTTTATTTTAACCCAGGCTATTTTACTCCCAAGAGAGTCCAAGTTTAAAAGTTCAAGAAATATTACCAATTTTTCATGTAAACGGTGAACAAGCCCCACAGTATCAAAGTATGGAGCAATAGCTTTCGCTTGAATGCATATGGTCAAACACTAAGGATTTCATCGAAAGAGTGAAACAGGGTTATGTAGTTAATTTTAAAAAAGCGCTTACTACGTCACGGTTCGTGCATCGTGAAAAGTTTAGCCTAAATTTTTGAAGTTTGTCGTTTGCAATCCGTGTTTATCTTCTAGATCCTTAACCATCCTTGCTCCTTTATGGTTTATTATTATCTCTTTGGTATTTTCCTATCTTAGTAAACTACTGTTTTCAGGTTTCTCTCAATTCAAAGGTAATTTTGTGCGTGGCCAAAATAATTCAAAATACCGTGACCGAGCTTCTTTACCTTGTACGAGGGATATTAGTGGTCAACGAAGCCTCAGTTTTGAGCAGGAATAAATTGAACACTGAGATAGGGCTGACATCTTCAGCGCTGAATGTAGCCCCTTTCATGTTAGATGGAAAGAGCCGAGAGGCCAGTGTTACTCTAACGCTCGAATGAAAACTATTGGATATGAAATGACTGATGACAATTTAATGTTCCTTCCATTTTTGTCACTGATTTCAGGATTCTGGAATATTCACTGGACGAGTCTAAGATCAGGACACAAGACATGTTGCATGCTATTTCAGGAGTTGGATCTCACATATATGGACGGCTTCTTACCTGGGATTTTATCAGAAAGAATTTTGACAAGATTGTCAAAAAGTAAGACCTCCTAAAGGAAACAGATATTGGCGACTTTGTGCGCGCATTTCTCCCACCAGATCTGTGTATAGTGCCGCTAGGTAGTGGGGAAGGGATACTCTACAAAGTTTTATACGGGGAGCTGGCTCCCCCTCCCCGGGGTCCAACCTGTTACCATGGCTACTTTTTTGTATACCATTTTGACAGGAAAGGTGCCCTTTCCATATACCTTTTATAGAAAAAAGGTACCCCCTTTCACATACCTACTCTAAGAACAATACATCCCTTTTCGAATACCCTAGAATGAAGATAATGAACAATATTTCGATAGAACATCAAGTGTTACCAGAAGAGATGTTAACCAAAAAAGTATCATTTATTCAGTTCCCGTTCACGTTACACCTAAATGACAGATTGCCCTACCCTTTCATATACCTGAACTTGTGAGAGACCTACCCTCGGCTTTTTTATACCTGAGGCATGAAAAAGGTACCCTTTCCGACGATAACTCCACGTATAGGCCGTTTTAGGGAGCCCCCCTTGGGGCATAATGTGCGCTTCCTCTTCGCCTTCCTTGAAAATGTTTTGGCAAAATTATTTTTGTTAAAGAATTTTGCTTTGATGCATTCTACGCATGGCATTGCCAGTTAGACATTGCATTCCCAAATTGTTTAACTTGGGCATCGCTGAAACATACTCTTCGCCTCTTTCAATCCTTACAATTTTGAAGTTCATTAATTAAGTCGTACTTTTACTACCCCCTCTCCCTCAGGTGGTTGTCTCTAACATTGTGACATTTGCAGGGGTAGGGGTGGGGAAGTAGATAACAGGGGAAGGAACTGCTAACCGCTTCTCTTTCTTGAACTAGAGTGTCATGATCACGTAGCACTAAATTTTATAAATAACTTGTTTAGGGTGGGGAAAGACGCAATGGAAATCAGTTATTTGATCGGCATCGCTACACGAGGATTTAATACGGAATTCCACCTTCAAGAGGTAAGATAAAACACGTATTTGTGCTATACTAAGATATATTTTAAGATACTAACATATATTCTAGAATAGCATTTATTTCAGACAAGCTAAATAAGATGAAAGGGTTGTAAGTCAGGGAATAAAAATGGGAGGCCAGTTTAAAGAGCTGTTAGCAGGACGTTTGCTAAATGACAATACATATTAGTTAGTTTTGGTCTCAAACAGGGTATGATTTTTGCACTCTAGTCTCGAATTAGACATTTTGTTTTTTAGACGAAGCTACTTTTTCATCATAATCGATAAAACCATCAACGAAAGCCCTTCAAAATGTCTTTAACATCAGTCTGAACGAGGGCCGAACTAATTATGCGGCAAGTCTGAAACAGGGTATTGATTTAACGGTCAGGTTTTCAATAGGGCATCAAATTTCCGTCAGGTTATAAATAGGGTAGGGAAAATCGCAGATTTTGATCTTAAATAGGGTAAAGGTTTTGGGAAGCGGGCCGCACACCCTGCCCAATTTTTCTGGGAGTAACCCAGGACCAAAACGATAATATCCAACTTGGCTCATACTGCCGTATAGATTGTCTTCAGTATATACTATTTGTCTTTTATTCTCTGTTAGACAGAGGAAAGACGGAATTCGGTCAATAAAGGGTTTATTATCTTAAAACTCTTTTTTCTTGGCTTCTTGTGGCAGGTTGAAGAATTCATCGCAGAGCACAAAGAAACTTTAGAACCTCTGCGTGCGACAAAGAAAGCCTTGGAGCACATCCGGGGATGTATAAATTGGATGAAGAATCATGGGAAGGAAGTTGAAGATTGGCTCCAATCACAAGTGGACTCTCTCAGTAGCCGGCTGGAGGACCTCTAAATATGCTCCTCTGAATATGCTCTTATTTTAATGAGCTTTATGACTGTTATCCTCTGATAAATCCTAATCATAGGTGTTACTATCAAACACTTTGGTGTAAAACCTATAGGCAATTTCTTTTATCAGTTCTGACCATATTACTATTGCTGTCCCAAGCAAGTTACAGTGCCTGGTTGTAGACGTCTGGGAATTGTTTCTTTTTCTTTTTAGATTTCAAAAGCTAAAAGTATGGGTTCTATTCTGGTTTTCTTTGCTTCTATTTTTCTAAAAAAAAAAATCTTTGGCACTGTTTTTAGATTTAAGGGTCATCCACAGAACAAAGTAATGTCCATCATGCAGATGTTTGATCGTTTGTTCGGACCAAGTTTTATTTTATTTCAACTTTTTGCACTCAATGTCAACTTTCAGCCTTGTTTAGGATTAGTTGATGTGCTCTTAGCCAATCAGCACGCTGAAATGCTTGCACGTATGTTATTGTTTATATATTAATAGGTTTAAACTTTAATAAGTCTAGGTGTAGGAAACAAAGTGAAAGCTTTTTAGTGTAGGAAAGTCCATCATTTTGAAGCAAGTCTAGACTGCGAATAGTCTCTCTTTTGCTCGAAACACCTTGGAGAAGAAATCAGAAAACAGAGCGAACGAGATTGCTTGCAGTCTAAAGCAAAATATGAATAGCATTCTATGACAAGCTCTTTAGCCACAAGCAGGACTTAGGAAATCGGGGTTCACCGCTGACGTGTTTTGTTCTTTTCTTCATGTTCATACCACAAACAGCTGCAGCTATTTACAATTTATTAAGTTAGTCAATACTGCAGAAATAAATTTATTTG